GACTCCTCGGAATGTTGGTTGGCTCGCCCCAGCTCCCTGACTAAGTTCTGCAGCCTCATGCCCGACTCAGTCTCGGGAAGGCGGGGCGATCGCGTCCTTTCTTCCGCGGGCGTGGCGGAGGCGCCTGCGCGTCGTTCTCTCGGCCGCGCGGCGGACTCCACAAATCGCGGCGCCCCTGCGATTGCCCCCGGAGCGTTGGAGCTCGCTCCTCCTGACCCGCAGAACGCGGCCGGGTCGATCCTCGGCGTTTGCCTGGCGAGCCGGGGGCCTCCTACCGAAGTCTATAAGTCCCAGCCCCGGCGAGGCGCCAACCAAGGGCGGCGGCCTCGCAGGGGGGGGGGGGGGGGGGGGCGCCCCCCCGCTGCAAGAGTCGGCGGGGGCCCTCCTGCGCGAGGGCATGTTTTTTCCATCGCGGCCGAGGCCTTGCAAAGCGGCGGCGCCCCTCCTGCTGGCGGCGCCACCTCTCCGCCGAGCTCCTCGCGCCGCGCGGCTTGGCAGCCGCGCGGCAGGCTGGGCCCGACCTCGCCGGCCGCGCCGTCACGCATGGCGCCAACTGGCCGGGAACTCGCGGTGGCCCGCGCCGCCCTCCGCCGCCGCGGCCCGGCGAGCTCCCCCGTCGGACTGGCCGTCCGCCCTCTTGGACAAGCAGCTCGAGATGGGGGCGGCGCGCAGATCTCCTCGGCGCTGCCCCTCATCCTGCTCGCGCGCTTTCTCGAGTCTCTCGTCGAGGTCGCCCCGCGCGCCCTTCCTGAGTGAAGTAGCGTTGCTGCTCCTGGATCTGGACCCCCGTGCCAGGCGCGAAGCGCCTGCCCCGCTCCCGGACGACAGCCGCTGCCGACGTCGGGCCGAAGCTGTCGCCTCGATAGTTGGCGCCGCCCGCGTGGTCTGACGGCCGCATTGCCGCCCCGACTCTCCAACAGATAGGCGGGGGCTGAGGGCCGATGAACTCGCCGAGACACTCGTGGCGGGGCGCTGGGGGGGCCCGTCCTGGATGGAGAAAACGGCGTTCAGCCCGATCGCCTCCGCGTTCGCCCCGGGGCCGCCTTCTGCGGCGCCCTTGGACGGGCCGACGACGCGCGCGGAGAAGTCGCGGCAGGCGCCCCAGGCAGCGCCCGCTCCAGCCAGGAGGTCGCGCACACGCAGCAGCCGAGCAGCATCGGCTGGCACCTTGGCCCCGCCGGCGGGCGCCGCTCCCTCGGCCCCTCCGCCTCCGGCGCGCGGCCCTGGGGCTCGGCGCCCGGGCTGCCCCTCCCCTCTGGCCGCGGCGCCGCGGGGCGGCCGCGCCGCGGCGCCGATCAGAGAGGGGATCCGCCCTTCTCCGCGGCCCTCTCGCGGAAGCAGCAGGCGCGAGAGCGCCCCCTCCGCGCAGCCCGGGCGTCGCAAAGCTGGGCGTGGAAAGGGCGAGCGCTGACAGCGCGCTCGCCGCCCACCTCCAGCGCTTCGCGGGCGCCTGAGACGGCGGCGCCCTCGACCAGCATCGCGACAAGCCCCTGCTGGGCTGAGTCCCTGCCGCCACCCGCGCACGGCACCCGGGCGCAGCTGTGTGTCGCGCGCGCGACCCTGTCCGCCTCGCAGCGGTCTCGGGGTTCGGGCCCATCTCCTCTGCCTCGGCGGGGCCCTTCCCTGGGCGCGGGCGGCGCCGGCGCCGCGGCGCGCAGCGCCTGCGCGCGCGCCTGAGATGCCCGCCAAGGCAGCGACATGCCCATGAGCCGCGCACCCTGCATCCTATCCTCGCGCGCCCCGCTTGGGCGAGCTTGGCCAAGTCCGCCGCGCTGATCTGAGCGCCATGCTCGACCGCGCAGATGCAGCAGGCATGTGCGAGATTATTCTCGCACTCGGGGGTAGCGCAGTCCATTGCCGCGCACGGATGAACCGCGCCGACGCCGTCCTCGCCCCTGGAAGCCTCCAGGTCTGCCTTGTGATGACGATGGGAGCTGCCCTTGATCTCCCTGAAATGGTGGACGCACCCGCGGCGCGTCGCGTGACTGCCCTTGAGCGGCCCTTGCTCGAACCTCGCCGCCGAGCCACCTGAACGGATGATGAGGTCCTTCGGCGTCATCTTATCTGGTCCTCCTCCTCCTCCTCCTCTTCCTCCTCCTCCTCCTCCTCTTGCCCGCGCCTCATTATTTGCGCGCTGCTCGTCGACCGCTGCGGCCTCCTCGGCCCCCTCCGCGTGCAAGAGCAGCTCCTGGGTTTCCTTCCAGCGCCACCTTCACGTCACGCCCTGACCTGCTGCCTTTGACGAATCCACGCGCCGCAGTCTTGACGTAGGCGCAATGGCCCTAGGCCGTGCGCAATAAGCACGATATGAACCCTATCATCGAGCCCTCGATAGCGACCACTCCAACGCCCACAAGTCCCATGGCGACCCACTGTAGCTTGACCCAGTAGGCGCCCCAGAGGTAGTGAACCATGGCGACGACCATGTCCATGAGGAAGGAAAGAACTGACGCAGCAAGGCCCCGAGAGCATGTCCGACACGTTCACCCAGCCACTTTAAAACTGCCCCGATCCATGTATTGACCACCGAGATAGCGTCCACAGGCTGTCCCCTCGCCCTGTCGCGGAGTGGCTCACGGCGCGGCGGATCCTCAGGCGTCGCGCCTTGCCTTCCTGGCGGGGGGTCCTCGGGCGGCGGCGGGGGGGGCTGCGGCGGCTCCGCCTCCAGCCCTGGCTGCGGGGTTCGGGCGAAGCACCAGCTGCGTCTCGGAAACTCCCGCTGGGCGCTGTCCGAGTAGTGCTGGAAATAAGCAAGAATACGAACCATATCAATCATGTTACGAATAATGAGAGTACGAAGAATTAGTTTTACATCTAGTAATAGCACTCATAATTATCCCAGTGCGAACCGACCAAGGAGTTGGAGCCGCTAGGAAAGCAGCATTAGTAGCAACAGTAAAGCTAAGCGAAAGCTAAGCTAAAGCTAAGATAAAGCTAAGCTAAAGCTAAGCTAACGCTCATATAAAGCTAAGCTAAAGCTAAGCTAGACTAACGCTAAAGCTAAGCTGCAGCTAAGCCAAAGCTAAGCGAAAGCTAAGCGAAAGCTAAGCTAAAGCTAACCTGAAGCTAAGCCAAAGCTAAGCTGAAGCTAAGCTAAAGCTATGCTGAAGCTAAGCTGAAGCTAAGCTAAAGCTAAGCTAAAGCTAACCTGAAGCGAAGTTAATGCTAAGCTAAAGCTAAGCTAAAGCTAAGCTAAGCTGAAGCTAAGCTGAAACTAAGCTCAGCTAGAGCTAAACTAACGCTAAGCTAACGCGAAAACTAAGCTTAAGCTAAACTAAAGTTAAGCTAAAGCTAAGCTGAAGCTAAGCTGAAGCTAAGCTACAGCTAAGCTGAAGCTAAGCTAAAGCTAAGCTAAAAGCTGAAGCTAAAGCTCCCAGGGGACTGGGGGAACCGCTCCCAGGGGACTGGGGGAACCGCGGGGCGGATCCTGGGGGAACCGCCCGGGGCGGGGAGCACTGCCCGGCCCTTTAAGCATACAGGGTAAGAACCCTTCTAGCCAGAGCCTAGGTAGGGAATAACATGCTTTACTTGTTATCATTATGAATAACAATTGTAATCCAGGTCAGGTGGCTGCTCCAGGACCAGCGCTTGTCTCCTTGCCTCGTCAGCGCCTGTCGGTCCACTGGGACCCTTGTGGCGCCCGCCCGTGTCGGCCATGGCTGGTGGCGAACTTGTGGCCAGGGGCCCTTCGTGGGGGTCGTTGCCGCCTCAATATCCGCGATCTGCGCGTCGTGGCCTGCTGGGGGAAGCGGCACCTCGTCGTCCTTGGCGGCGTAGCTCGACGGGTCGACTGCAGTAGCACGATCAGCGTCACCGTCACCTGCTCGTCCACCGTCGCCCTCGCCATCATCAGCTCGAGCACGGCCCATCTCAGGCCCTCGGTGGGCGGCCGTCGCGGTGATGCCAGCGTAGAGCCCGACAACCAGAGACGCGACGAGCCACGTAAACACTGCGAAAACGGCGGTCGCGACGCTGCACTCGGAAGTGTGCAGCGGCCTCATCTGGGGGCCTCCGCGTCCCTCGTCCTCTTCTCCTCCGCGGCTGCCTCACAACCTGCGCGGCCCGCCACCTCGCGGCGCTGTGCCTCGCTGGGCCAGGGCGGCTCAGGCGTGCTATGGCCCCGCCCGCCCACCCCAAAAAACAAGAGATGGCCCCGCACGGAACCTTGAGCGAAACGGCGGCAGAGGAGGAAGCGGAGGAGGCTTAGGAGGATTGTTGGAAAGTAAGGAGGCAAGGGCGGAGGACAGAAGAGGGGCTGCGCCATCGATCAAAACCTTCAGTTATAACCCACGTACAAGTGCGTAATTACCAGCTCCGCTGGACCTCCCAAGAGCCCACGAAAATGGAGACAGGCAGATCCCCGCACGAAAGTGGCCAGGCGGCGCAAGCAGGACGCAGGAGAGAAGGGAGGACGAGAAGGAAGAAACAGGATGCAGGAAGTAGGAGGCAGCAGGCGGGCGGGGGGGGAGGAAGGAGGAGTGGAGACCGCAGTGCTGGAATCATAACGAGAACCCAGCACAGGAGAGTTGGGAACAAATTGCAAGTGTTTAACGGATGGGTGGCGGTTCCTTTTTCAAAATGTGTATTTCATCTTGGCGACGGGCACGTTCGTCGGAAGAGTTTACAACAGCTTCGAACATGCTCACGGTGAATGTCAAGAAAAAATGTGTTGCCACGATGTCGGACTGTCAGGGCACAACAGTTTCGGTGATGCGTGGTGTTGAAGTCCCTGTAATGGCGTTCTAGCAAGATTCAGGATCGTCAATACGCAACAGTAGCGGTGATTCCCGGCTTGAAGCCCCAAGAATGGTGCTCTGGCACAGTTCAGGATTTTGTCGAACGGTTGTTTCCAAACGGGGCACTTCCTTCAGTGAAAGTGAATCTTAAGCAGGTGCCTGTGAAGAGGGAGCTTGGGGGGAGGTCTTATTGCAACATCGTTGATGAGTCTTGGGTTTGCACTGGTCTTCCTCCTCCTCTTCCTCCTCGCCGCCAAATGGAAC